CCAACAAACTGAGGCAACACTGGAGGCACTTATTGATCTACCAAGAATTTGGGAAGATAGCTACCTGGTCAAATGATTAGAAGAGATCCATATTTATGCCCATTCCAAAGAGAAGTGACTCAGTGGAATGCAGAAATCATTTGACAATATCATTAATATCAAATGCAAGTAAAATTTTGCTCAAGGTAATTAAAATACAGCTGCAACAGTACATTGACAGGGAATTGCCAGAGGTTCAAGCTAGAATCATATGAGGATGTGGATGTCATTGCTGATATCAGATGGATCTTGGCTGAAAACAGAGAATACCAGAAAGATGTTTATCTGTGCTTTATTGAATATGCAAAGATCATGGATCATGACAAGCTATGGACAACATTGTAGAGAATGAGTATTCCGGAACACTTAATTGTGCTCATGAGGAAACTGTATGTAGACCAAGAGACAGTCATTTGAAAAAACAGCCTTAAAACCAGGAAAGGTATGTGTCAGGGTTATATTCTTTCATCATATTTATTTAATCAGTTTGCTGAGCAAATAATTCAAGGAGCTGGATTATATGAAAAAGCACATGGTATCGAGATTGGAGGAAGACTCATTAACAACCTGCAATACGTAGATGATACAACCTTGCTTGTTGAAAGTGAAGAGGACTTAAAATACTTACTGATGAAGATCAAAGACCACAGCTTTCAGTATGGGTTGTACCTTAATGTAAAGAAAACAAAAATCTTCACCACTGGACCAATAAATAACATCATGGTAAATGGAGAAAAGATTGAAGTTGTCAAATACTTCATTTTGCTTGGATCCACCATCAACACTCATGGTAGTAGCAGTCAAGAAATCAAACGATGTGTACTCTATTAGTCAAATCTGCTGCACAAGACTTCTTTAAAGTGTTGAAGAGAAAAGATGTCAATTTGAGGACTAAAGTGTGCCTGACCCAAGCCATGGTTTTTTCAGTACCCTCATTTGCATCTGAAAGTTGCACAATGAATAGGAAGACTGTACAAGAATTGATGTACTTGAGCTATGGTGCTGGAGAGGAATATTAAAGGTACAATGGACTGCCAGAAGAACAAACAAATCTGTGTTGGAAGAAGTACAACCAGCATGCTCTTTAGAAGCCAAGATGGATAGACTTCATCGCTCAAACTTTGGACATATATTATCAGGAAGGTCTTTATAAAGTGGAGGGACAATGAAAAAGAGGGGGTCCCCCAACAAGACGGACTGGCACAGTGTCAGCATCAATGGGCTCAAGTGTAGCAGTAATTGTGAGGCTACAGACCAGGAGGCATTTCATTCTGTTGTACATAGGGTCGCTGTGAGTCAGAATTGACTTGATTGGCACCTAACAACAACATAAATGCAGGCAACAAACTCTTAGCAGCGATAGCACTATCTGTAATTGTCTCATCTTACATGATTGAGGGTATCTTAAAATATCATTTACATTCATCCCTATTTTTTATATTAGCCTAAGTAGCTCCTTGAAAGCCAGGATGGCCAAACTTTGTCTCTCATACTTCTGTCCCTGGAGAAGGCTATCATGTTTGATAAGGTGGAGGGTCAGAGACAAAGAGGAAGACCCCCAGTGAGATGGATTGGCAAAGTGGCAGCATCAATGGGCTCAAACGTGGCAACAATTGTGAGGTTGGCCCAGGAATGGGCAGTGTTTCGTTCTGTTGTGCATAGGGTCACTGTGAGTCGGCACTAACTCGATGGCACCTAACAACAACAAAGTAGTTATTAGATTTTCAATAGATCTGGATATGTTATGCATTAATAAAGAAGCATATACATTATATCACAAATTTGGTTTGAATATTTTATGTCTGCATTTCATTATAATTGGTTTTCTTTGTAATCGTATGTATTTTTATGCCAAAAATTATTATTCTGAGGTAAGATACATACCATACTTCCAAGGAAAAGGTTGAAGAGTCCAAGCGACACAAACTCTTTGGCATGTCTGTCTTGGCCACTAGATGGGGGACTACCTGACAGGAGCTGCCCTGTTCCTCCTTGTGCCTGCTCTGTAACTCTCCGAGTAGCGGTCAGTGCTTAGTGGGCGTCTTGTGAACCTCACATTGTGCGAGACACTATTAATACAGAGATGTGGAATGTACTTTAAAGAAACTCAGAGCTAGAGTTAAACCTGATGATGCCCTAGCTGCTGACTATGTTGCTTCCTAGATATGTCACCCGGGGCAAGGTAACCTCCCTTGGCCTAGCTTCCTCATTTATAAAATGATCTACATCATCGGATAATTCCCATCATTCCTGATATTTAACGTTCCAAATCAAACCAAACCCACTGCCATCGAGTCGATTTCGACTCATAGCTACTCCAAATAGGGTTTCTGAGACTTTATGGGAGCAGAAAGCTTCATCTTTGTTGTTGGTGGTTGTTATGTGCCGTGGAGTCGGTTCCGATTCATAGCGATCATCCTGTACAGGGTTTCCCGAGGCTGTAAATCTTTACAGGGAGCACAAAGCCTCATCTTTCTCCCGAGGAACAGCTGGTAGTTTCGAATTGCTGACCTTGTGGTTTGCAGCCCGATTCGTATCACTACGCTAGTTTCTGTTACCTGCGGTAGAAACAACAGTCCCATGGGGAAACCTGCCAAGTAGCTTTAGGCAGAAGGTTGTAGCCGAGGCTAGAGGCGACTCTCTTCTAGGCGACTCTCTCCTAGCGGAGCTGGAGTATGTCGGGAATATGGAGTGGGAGGAGTCAGGGTCTGCATTCCTAACACCTCGCCCCGAACCCTCTGATTCTGTTGTTAAGTGCCGTTGAGTCGGTTCCGACCCATCCCATATCGACCCTGTATAGGGTTCACAATGAACAGCTGGTGAGCTTGAACCGCCGACCTTGTGGTTCAAACCGACTTTGCAGTTCAGCGCATTATCCCACAGCGCCACACCGGGACTCCAGCCCTCTGGCCGACGGTCGCCTAGGAATACCTCTGCGAAGCTTGCCTGTCCTGGAGTGCAGCATTGCCCCGGGCAGTTGCGGTTGGCCCTCCGCGCCGGCGGGCGGCGCTAGGCCGGGCCTGGCGGCGGACGGCGTTCGGGCTGGGCTCCTCTCGACGGCGGCGCACGGCTGTACGGCCGTCCGTGGGGCGGAGACGCGGCTGCTGCTGCGGCCCCGTGTCACCGGAGCTGAAGCGCGCAGGCCCGTCCCAGCGGCCCGGGGCGGGTGGGGCGGGGGCGCCATGTGGTTCATGTACGTGCTGAGCTGGCTGTCGCTCTTCATCCAGGTGGCCTTCATCACGCTTGCCGTCGGTGAGAGTGCGCAACCCCGGCCCGCGCAAGCTGCAGTCTCGGCTTCTGTGCTCGCTGAGGGTCTCACTGCTGGGGCTTCAGAACTACCCCTACCCCATGCTCCCGGCCTTGGTCTACCCCCTCCCTGTTCCCCCTCGTCCTAACCCCTTGTACAGACCCCAGCAGCCTGGCCTGTGTGGTGCCCGCCCAGGTGTACAGAGTCCGCTCGGGAGAGGCGGACTCGGGCGCCCGCTCCCGCCAACCGCTGCGCTCCCCCCGCGGACCCACAGAGCCCAACTCTCCCCGGACACCTACCGCCGCTCTAAGAGGGCCCCGATCCTCCCTACTTGTACTTTTGACACTTTCACTTTCTGGCTGATCGAAGTCCAGATGTCACCTGAAATGTCACCGTCTCCTGGAAGCCCTCTTTTGTTGTTAAGTGCCATCAAGTGGGTTCCGACTCATAGCGACCCCGTATAGGGTTTCCGAGGAGCGGCGGGTGAGTTTGAACCACCGACCTTACGGTTCAAACCGACTTTGCACCACAGCGCATTAACCCACAGGCCAGTGCCTTGTATTTGCCCTAAAGTCGTATTTCTCACACTGACTTCTGACTCCCCTTCCTACTGACTGCTTCCCTTCCCCGGCCCCATCCCAGTTGAATGAGGGAAGGGTCGACTGACCTGTTGTGTATCTTTTATTTAGCCTAAGGCCTGACCCATACTAAACACTCAACAGATAATTATTGAGTAAGTGCAATTCCGCTTAATGGGCCAGAGGTTAGCATTGCATTGTAGAGGAGTCCAGTGCAGGCTTCATTCCTTCTATGGAATTTCTCCTTAGTTGCCTTGATAACTGCTCCAGAATTGGAAAGGCAATGCATGGGTGGTTCCTGACCTCCAGGCCATGAAGAGTTTGGTGGAGACCCAGCTACAAAGGGGGATAAACAGGCCCTGTTAATGTTCTTCCTGCTTGCCCCTCTTGCTTTCCTCCTAGCTGCTGGACTCTATTACCTGGCAGAACTGATTGAAGAATACACAGTAGCCACCAGCAGAATCATAAAATACATGATCTGGGTAAGTGGAAGCTCTCGAGACCACCTCACTTTCCACTCTGCCTCAAAAGGAGGAAGTGGAGAAAGTTTGGCATGATTCTCTGTTCCTGCTGTTTCCTAAGGGTAGCACACCTACTTTTCCTGGCCTGTACCCTGGTCTCCTTTCCCAAGCTGCATGGTTTCACTGCAGGCCTGCTTCTTGGTTCCTTAGTTAACAGTTGAATGTATATTCTCTGTTGACTGATCCTTGGTTTTACCTTTGCTTGGCTGTCTTCCATTGTCTCTAGATCCTCGAGTTGCTCACAGCTTTTTGAACGGAGAGGAGTCCTAAGGACAGTCTTGAGTACTTGTTCCTTGTTCTGTCTTTCTAATTGAATCAAGTGACTTGTCCTAAGGGGCGAGTATCTTCCTGGGGCGTGGCCTTGGCTGCCCCAGGTCACATGGGAGGATTGTCTCCCTTAAGACACAAACTTTACTATTGCTGGAAACCTGTAGGAGTGACTGTTGGTGGATAGATTTCCACCAGCTGCAGTAAAGGCTTGGGGTGGGTTGGGAGGAGGGGTGCACACTGGGGCAGGAGACACCCACTGCCTGTCATTCACAGATTATCAGTAGCCTCTTCCACTCTGGACCTTACCTGCGGTTGGGAATTAGTGGTGCAGTCAAAACCAAAGCACTCAGCTCTATGGGCTCAGAGGCCTGGCTGGCTGGTGTTGGTACAGGAATTAGATCTTCATTCAACCAGCTGTCATTCATTAAGCCCTGACAACTGTAAGCCTTTCAGAACAGTCTTTTCAGACCACAGGTATGAGTTATTACTGAGTTGTGTAATCAGCTCACTAACTCATGGTCAACATTTTTTTTTTAATTGAATATAAAAATTAAAATCAAAAGTTGAACTTAATCATATATATGTAAAAGTATTGGGGTCACAGTGTACAATGTTTTTCTTATTATGGGTTGCTGTCAAAAAAACTTTGAGAAATGGCATTAAAAGATGTTGCTGTTAGGGAGCTAAGAATCTAGCTGGGGAAGCCAGACTTGAGACTGTAAAACAAGAAGAAAGAAGCATGAACAAGACAAACTAGTGCTACCCAGAGTGAACTGGGGCTGGTGAGTTCAGGAAGGCTGCCTGGAAGAGTCTCCCTGAACTGTATGCCTCTGGTCATTGCAGTTCTCCACGGCTGTGTTGATTGGCCTCTACATCTTTGAGCGCTTCCCTACCTCCATGATCGGCGTGGGTCTCTTCACCAACCTCGTCTACTTTGGCCTCCTCCAGACCTTCCCCTTCATCATGCTGACCTCGCCTAACTTCATCTTGTCATGTGGTGAGAGGAAACAGGAGGGGAGGCAGCTCGGTCTGGGGCACTGAAGGGAATTTAGAGAAAGGTCCTCTAGGAGGCCAGGCTGATTGGGAAGATAGGGCTCTCACACTTGGGGATCCTAGAACCCACTCTGGCTCAGTGATGGGCTTTTGCAGATAAGGCAGGTCAAGCAGGGAGGGCTTTCCCAGGAAATACGTTTAAAGAGAAGTTTAGGAATGGAGAAGAGGATGTAGCTTGCTGAGCTAAGACCCTAGCCTGAATCCAGTTGACCCGGAAAAGCCAAGCCCTTCCCTGGCCTGTCCATTCTGTTGGTCCCAAGTCTCGTGGGGCTGTGAGCACCCTTCAGATGCTGACCTGAGAGACAGCTATGTTTTCTGGCTGCCCTTCAGCCTGGACTAGTGTGAATGTTTGTGGTCATGGGAAATCCTTTTCTAGTCTCATTCTCATTGGCTGCAGCTACCTAGGTGTTGAGGCAAAAGGAATGTAATTTGAAGGACCTTGGCCTTCTTGCCTTGTCCCTGTTACCACTTTCTGACCCTGGGAAGTCACTTCTCTCCCTGGGCCTTTGTTTCTCCATCTGTTCAGAGATGATGCTATGTTCCTGACCGAACTGTTGGGAGACTCAATTGGCACATAGCAGGCGCTTATAGATCTTTATGGAAAAGGTTTTGGAAAGTACTAGCTTCCAGGATGCCATTTCTGTCATTACTTATTACTGATCATCTTAGTCTTTGGCCAGGGTATCAGACGGACTTGGGGTTTTTTAGAGCTACTTATCTACTTCGGTATGAACCTGGAAAGAAACTCTTATCTACGTTGAGGGCATAATGTTAAAGCTAGGACTAGTTTCTTCTCGGAGTGAGTGGCCTAGTGTAGATTCACCAAAAAATTTGTTCGGCAGGGGTTTGTGTGTATGTCCTAGGGAGGAGGTTCTTCCCCTTTAACCTTCACCCCTCCCAGCAGGCTCCCTTGGCTTCCTAATGATACACCCCAGTCCTACCCTTTAGTTGCCTGAGAGTTTTCCTGAAAGATGTTGTGGGCACCAGGCACCATTTATCTTCCAGTAACCCTTAGCCCTAGAGTGTGGCTAGGTACACACATGGCAGAAGTGTAGTTTTTGCCTTAGGAGGGAGAGGTAAGAGGGTAGAAAAGAGGAATGGCAGTTGGTATGAGGGGTGTGAGAGGCATTCCGTTTTTGGGGGTTGTCTTTCTGGGTGCCTGCCCTTCACCTCACCATGGGAACAGGCAGTGATGCCTGCCTCTGAGCTGCTTGTATCTCCAGGCACTCAGCTGCTCTCTCTCATAGATCATGCTGCACACTAAGGAGTAGTGGATCCAGAATAGACCAGTTCAGACTAGGGATCTTACCCTGCAGTCGGATGGGGAAGGATACCCCACAGAATTTCAAGGAACCTGAGATTCATCTCTTAGCATCTAGCAAACTGCCCTATTATTCCTGAGGAGTGATTACATTACCTCTGTATCTGAGGAGGTCTTCTCCCTGCACTTTGTATTGGAATTTCTTCTGTACACCCATCACTTCTCTTCAGGACTCATAACCATAAAAAGCCAGGCGAACCATCATGACGTTTAGATTACCTCACTTTTAGACCATGAGAGCTTTCTCCCCTACCTTCTCTTTTGATTCTCACATGCCTTGTGCAGTGGGCATGCTGGGCAGATGGGAAATGGAGTGCTGAGAGTAACGTACTTGGTCTTGAGTCAGTCTGTGAGTTGGGTATAAAATCGGGACCAAGCCTGAGGGCTCCCAACTCTCAGGGGCCTTTTGAAGTTTAAATGTCTAGCTTTGTGTTCCTCCTCCAAACTGACTGACTCTCCATTCTCTCAACAGGGTTAGTGGTGGTGAATCATTACCTCGCGTTTCAGTTTTTCGCGGAGGAGTATTATCCTTTCTCAGAGGTAAGAAGTGTTCAGTAAATCAAACAGTGAACAACAGGGGGAGTGAAGAGGACTTGCTTGGTTTGCTTTGTGAACTTAGGTGTGGTGTGAGACAACACGCCCATTCAGGAGTTGCATGTTAACAGATGATTTTAGAAAGCAGTATGAATGAGGCCAGAAGGAAGCCCTTCGGCTGGGGAGGGAGGGTCTACTCTCTTCCAGTAAGTTCTTTGAGCCCTCCTTCCCTGGATTCAGCCTAGCGTCCTGAGATCATTGAGGGGGCCTCACTGGGCAGGGTGGCTGCAGCCCTGACCCTGAGCTCTTTCCAGTGGCCTGGCAAGATCTTCTCATCTCAGGATGAGGTCTCCACCCTCTGCTGCTGCTGCAGTTTGGGCCCTCAGTCATGGCTCCTCCTCCTCTGGTTCCCAGGAGTTGATTGTCCTTGTGACCTCCATTAGTAGATTGTGACCTCACTCAGTCATCTTTAGCTTCTACCTTTCCCTGCTGAATTAATTCCTGTCCCTGTGTCCTGGAGGAGAATATGAAAAGTACATGGACTACCAAAAGAACGAACAGATCTGTGTTGGAAGAAGTACAGCCAGTATGTTCCTTGGAAGCCAGGATGGCCAGACTTCGTCTCTCATATTTTTATCAGGACATATTATCAGGAGGGACCAGTCCCTAGAGAAGGATATGTTGGGTAAAGTGGATGGTTGAAGAAAATAAAGGAAGACCCCCTAACCCCAACGAAATGTATTGGCACAGTGGCAGCAGCAATGGGCTCAAGTATTGCAGCAATTGTGTGTGTGTTGGCCCAGGACTGGGTAGTGTTTCATTTTGTTGAGTTGGTATCGATTCGACAGCATCTGACAACAACAGTGTCCTGGGCTCTGGTCTCCTTCAGAGGTCAGATGTGGGCCTTTCCATGTACTCTTGACCAGCCCTCTGTGCCACATCACTCACGCCTGACCCCCCTGGGCACCTCCAGGAGCACCTTCTCTCTCTCTCTTGTTGCCAGGTCCTGGCCTATTTCACTTTCTGTCTCTGGATAATTCCATTTGCATTCTTTGTGTCCCTGTCGGCTGGGGAGAACATCCTGCCCTCTACCGTGCAGCCAGGAGGTGAGAAGGCATTTGGTTGTAAGGGACTGAGGTTGAGGGTGGGGGAAGTATTATCAGCAAGGCCTGAGCTGACTCAGGGAGCAGAGCCCAGTCCTGGGTGGAGACTCATGGGCTCCATGTAGGAGGAGCTGTGGTTCACACTCGGGCACATACACTCATCTCCCTGCCTCTGTCTCCACAGATGACGTGGTCTCCAATTACTTCACCAAAGGCAAGCGGGGCAAACGCCTAGGGATACTGGTTGTCTTCTCCTTCATCAAAGAGGCCATTCTACCGAGTCGTCAGAAGATATACTGACACCCTTGGGGAGGGACTGCGGGAGCAGGACCAGGAGGGAGTCAGGTCCCTGGGCCTCTGAACTAGGCTGGGGCTGTGAGCGTGGAAGGTACCTTCCCCAGCCCTGGCCCTCCTCCCCATGACTCTCCCTGAAGCGCCATTCCCACCCTTTTGGGGGAGTTCAGCTCAGCCCTGACACTGCGAGAGGCTACAACCTCAGAGGGCATAGGGCCTGCTTAACCGGGAAGCTTTAGCCCACTTGATTGTGAAGCAGTGGAGCACCTCAGGCCCTCCGCTCAACTTTCCATGGTGAATCAGGAGGGCTCTGGCTCTGCTGGGCAGGCAGGGCAGGATTCAGGAAGTCAGAGAGCAGACAGTGACAAGTTCTCTGGGCAGATGGCCGTGGGGAGGGGCCATGGCTTGGCACCTCTGAAATATTTTTTGAACTGTGATTTTTGTCCAAGTGCTGAATTCCATTTGAATAAAGTGGCACTGTTTGCCTTAAGACCCAGAAAGTTCATCTACTTTTCGTCCTGCCGACCATCTGCCCTGGGCTGAACTGACTTTTCTGCTCCTGGGACAACTTCTTTGGCTTTGGGTCTTGTCCTTCTGGAAGGACTGTTCTTGCAGCACTTGATGGGAAGGGAGCAGGGATGAGGAGCGGAGCCTGGTCAGGGGTGGGAAGTGGAGGCAGCTTTTCTGATGGCCCTCCCTTTACTTTCATCTCTTATTTCTCCAAGGCTCCATGGCTATCTAGCTATGGGTAGGAGAGGGGCGAGTTTAGGCCTGGGTTCGAGTTTCAGAACATCTGCAATCTCCTATTTATGCCTTCCTCTGGGGAAAAGGAGTGGTTTCTGGCTGAATTCTCAGGCTCAAGAAGAAACTGAAAATAAAATTTGGCTCCCATTCAGCCCAACCTGTAGCCTGTTTCTGAAGAAGCGGGGCTGGTGGGAGAAGTGATTTGTTACTCTTAAGAGCACACAAGGGTTGACCGCCCTCTCTTTTGTACTCTTGACTCTTGGGGAGATGATCTCAGCCTTCTAAGAAGGTGGGCCAGGCCCTGGGCACAGACCAGCATTTGTTGATCTTGCACTCCAACTATAGTGCCTTGCAAGTACTCAATAGTACATATTGGAATGAAGTCCCCTTGAGAGCCATTTCTGGCCCTGCCCTATACCTCAAAACCAGGAGACAGACTGTACACACAGAGTACCTTTAAGCCACTAGGAAAATCCCTGTGCTTGACAGTCTTTTCTGTACATCATGCCTGAAGTCCCACAATAGCCCTTCATTTCCTGGCCTTTTGATTTCCCATTCTCTTAAAACAAAAAAATCTTAGTCTTCCCCTTTCCCTGGGCCAAGTAGCAGAGTCCACTCCTCATCTCAGTGGGAATGAAATTGCAGACAGGACAGTGGAGGACATTGGAGGCACATGTTCTCACCAATGGGTCAGGTCCTCACCCAGATAGTGTGGCTTTGCCCCTTCTGTTCTACTGCCAGTGCCCTTCCTGTGCTAAAGCCAGTCAATCCTTTTCATGATATATCTGCCATGGCTGATGACACCCTGCTTCTTAAATCTCATTTCCCTGGTCTCTGTGGCACAACACTCAGCTAGTTTTTCTCCTACCTCTGGCTGCTTTCAGCCTCCTGTGCAGGCTTCTCCACTTGCCCTAGGCACAGTGGGGTGCCTCAGGGTTCTGTCTTGAGACAGGGAGCCTAGTCATGCCAAGGAATCAAGAGTTGATCTCTAGCCCCAACCTTCCTCATGATCTGTGGAACTTCTGGGTGCACAGACAATATAAGTTCATCGCCCACATGGCATTTGTTCTGTCCTTGTAAACCTGCCCTTTGAGTACTTAAGTGGCCCTAAGATCACTCAGGAGCCAGATCAGAAACCTGCTTTCCATCCCTGCTTCTTCCTGCCTTCACATCCAATGTCTAAACACTGTGAAGTCGACCTTAACATCTCTCAATCTGAGTTGCTCTCACTACCATCCGCTCTCACCTGGTTGTATCACAACAGGATCCTGCTTCTCTATCCCACAGCCAGAGTTGTCTTTCTAAAATGCATAGCTGATTGAGTCACCCCTTGCTCCCCACTGCCCTCAGAATAAAGCCCAGACTTAGCATGGCTTGTGCCACGTGTATCCTGGTCCCTGCTCATCTCTCTGGCTTCATCACTTCCTTCTTACATTCTGGGTACTAGCCCTCCCACATCCAGAGATGCAATGGCACACTCTCTTGAACCTTGATTCCCCTTCCACTTACCTGGGTAACTTCTCCATCAACTTAGATTTCACTTCCTGTGAGCAGCTTTGAATATACCCCATCCACCCTACCCCACCCCCACTCAGATCATTCTGGGCTTACTTGCCTACTTACTGGTCTGTCTCCCTACTAGACTGTAAGCTCTCTGAGGGCAGGGACTGCCCTTCAACTTTTGTATTAACAGTGCCTGGCTTGCTGCCTGGCACATAGAAAGCACTCAATAAATGTTTGTCTAATGAATGAATGAATGGAGTCCTGGTGTGGCTGCAAGATAATGCACTGAATCGGTTTGAATCACATGGTCAGTGCTTCAAACTCACTAACTGCTCCTTAGAAACCCTATACACAGTCACTATGAGTTGGAACGGACTCAACAGCACTTAACAATGAATAAATTGTAGGCATGGGCACAGGGGACAGCAAGGGATCCAGGATCATGTCCTGGCGGAAGTTCAAACGCTTTCATTGTCTCAACAGAAGCTTCAGATCCATCCTCAAACTGTAGAAACCTCTGTCGCAGTTGTAACTAAGTCGTAGCCACCCACAGTAGCAGGGAAGCCCATGCCAGACTGGCAAATGAATGGTTCTTCATCCCATTGTCTTGAGGTGAAAACTGAGGCAGGAAGGACTGAACAAGAGGCAGCATTTCCCACAGGTCCCTCTGTCCTGGAAGCCTTATCCCTCCCTCCCTGGTGGGCAAGTGGGAGGTAGTTGAGACTAAGAAATTGCTTTTGCAGTGCTAGGACCCGGGAAAGTGACTGACTCCCATTAGCCCTGGGATTCCTTCCTAAACTGGGCTCCCTGGGGGGCCCAGGAGATTTCTTTGCAGCAAGAAGGAAAGCCTATTGGTGGGGGTGAGTGAGGAGCCACATGTGCATGCCATATCCCTCTTCCTCCCCACCAACAACATGGAATTGCACACCCAGCCTTCATTGGGCTGCCTCAGGGCCAGAGGCTACCAAATTCACTTTATGGGAAGACCTTGGGGGAGGGCAGGACAGGAGTCCTTGGTGAGCACGAAGGGCTGTCAGGAAGGTTTCATCAAATGTCTCACGCAAGCTCATGGCCAGAGCATCTGTCCAGAAGGTGTTGCCCAGGTGCTGCCTCAGGGGCACATCCCTTAGGCTGATGGGGTAGAAGCCCTCGGGCACCTTTATCCTGTATGGCTGCAGTGAGGGGTATAGCTCTTGGAACACCACATCCACAGGCAGGTGGGGTATGGCCCCCACCAGGTGGCCAGTGACAGTATGCAGCAGCGTACCTCCGTGCCTGTCGGGACTCACCTTCACAAAACTGCCTAAATTACGCTCCGGAGGGGGCTCTGGCTGTAGTCCCAGGCGGATGGCCTTCAGGCAGGTTATTTGCATAGTGGGGAATCTGGCAGGGTTGTTGCTTTGGTCCCACAGCTTGGGCCACCTGGCTTTGGGCGCCCTGTACAGAGAGGATGTTGGTGCTTTGGAGGGCTCTGTGGGCCCTGGCAGGTGTCCCAGGTGTGCCTCCAGTAAAGAGTGATAACTCTTAGAAGGCTGCAGCCCAGGGCACTTGGTCTTTATGAGGGCACTGGTTGCAGTCAAGGCACTAGGCTTCTGCTTCGTGGTGCGGGCCAGCAACAGTTTGCAGTGGAGCCACTTCTTGAATTCAGCGTCATTCAGGGCTTTACACTCTTTCTGCAACAAGAGGGATCGTCAAGGAGGTACGTCTATGGAAAGTGGCCCTGTGCCTATAGCTATTACAATTCTCCAGTTTGATAGACAACTTACAGTCCTTGCCCCAGAAGAGTCTGATGGGTGTATTATGAGAACCTTTGCCCTAAGGAGTCACCTGGGTTGATGGGGGGAGGCAGTCTTGCATAGGGAAGGTACAACCTCTCCTCTAGGTGAGACTTCCAACTTCAGGGAAAAGGCACAGTCTGCCTGAGGGGGCACTTCCAATCTGATGGAGGAGATGACCCCTCCTGCCACCCCCACCAAAGGATCTACTCATCTGATAGTAGAGACATGTCCTGTCCTAAGGAGAGTCTTTGGTCTGAATGGGAAAAGGCAAATGAGAAGTGCAAATTGCATCTTTGACCCTGGAAGATGAATGTCAAAAGGTTTGGAATGCTTGCAACTGGATAGAGCGAATCTGTTCTGGCTTGGACGTGGTGGGCCCTGGGAAGTCAATTAGGGAGGGATACACTTGGGGGCTCGCTGGACTGGGCGGCAATGACTCAGTCTAGGTAACTGACCTTGTCTTCACTGGAGTTGAATCTTTAACTCATCACAGAACCAACCCTACTCCAGCCTGTTGTCAGTCTCTTGTCTCTTTCCAGCCTATGTTAGCTAAGACAGTTTGGCGATTGACCCAGCTTCTGGGGTATATTTTGCTTAGGTTAAGCCAACCATAATTCCCTCAGCCTTGCCTCAGACCTAAGTCAATCAGCATATGACTTTCCCTTTGCTCTAGGGAGGGAGAGATGAAAGGAGATCTGCAAAGTTCTTCTGGGAGAGTTGAGAACCCCAGGAACAGCTGTGCGACTAGAAGGCAGGTCATGCTGACAAAGAGGAGTGTAGGGCTAAGAAAACCAGAGAAATGGAGCTGCAACAGGGATGGAATACTGGCGTCACCAGCCCTACATCTGGATTCAGGAATGCCAACACCTTCTTTCTGGGCTTTCTGTTTCTTGCTTTGGATGTAATTATACCTGTTTATGATCCTTTAATTACTTCCTTTTCTGTTCCCTGCCAAATCTCTAGCTTGAAAATCTCCAACACACCTGAACCCCCCAGCCATACTAAATTTGCACGTCACTGCATACACCATGTTCCCGAGTGCCCTCAGGCCTTCCTGAAGGTCAGTCCTTCCCTACTAACATGGCCAACGGCTGCCCATCTTTAAAGACTCCTATCAAGTAGCATCCCTTCTGGGGCACCCTTCCAGACGCCTGCCTCTGTGGGAGTATAACCTGCCTCCCCTCTCCTGGAGTGTGGGAAGCACATCTTGTTCATCTTTGGGGCCTTGGGGTTCAGGTGCCTAGCACAGAGTTTGTGCTCAGTGTCTGTTGGGAGGATGGATCTTTTTTAACCAGAATATTGTTGTTGTTAATGTCCCAACAAAGAGCCTGGGTCTCAGCACTCCTCCTCATCCATCTTCTCTTGATGCTTTCTGCATCATTCAATAATTTGCCCAGAGAATCTTTCAATAATGAAAGTTGAGGCTTAAATTTTTTCTTCAGTTCTCCCAGCTTGAGAAATGCTGAGCGTGTTCTTCCTTTTTGGTATTCTGATTCCAGA